GTTGGTAAGACATATGTGAGAGATAACTAAGTGTCGCACATGTCTCATTCATCAACAGAGCAAATTCTTGAGTAGCTTTGGAGAAAGACCTTGCTTGCATGGGCCAGTAAGCCTGCTGCAGTGTTCCTACGTTCTTATATTCTTATGGATAACTAAAGTGTAATGAACACTTGTCAGTGCACAGTAATAACCCACCTGGAGACACGAAGTCAGAAGATTCATTGACCTGTGTATTTCGATCCTCTTCTGGGATCCTCTTCAGCATATCTACTGAAGAGGACCCCAGAAAGTGGTCAAAATATACAGTGGGCTATTATGTTTTAAACTTGTTCCGTAACCTGTTCCTGCACTCTTGTCTACAGAACAACATTTACATACAGACTTAAGCTAGTTAATCACTAAAGGGAAATATAAGTGAGTAAAGACTAGTTGTTAGAGAGTTACAAGACGTTCCTGGTCTACCTGGCAACCATCTTCATCGAAGATCTGACGAAGTTAAATGATTGTTTGGAAACATAAAGACAAATACGGTAATAAGGCGATGCAACATATACTCTTGTTGATGATTAAGACACATGTGTAACAGTTGGGTAGCTTTCTTGATGAAACGTATCGCCTACACAGCAGGCTTCTTCAGTCAAATACAGAGGGAGCAGTAATTATGAAATAAAGATGATGTAATCAGTCAATCAACCTTGGAGAAAAAGTATTTGAGGTGGTCAGTCCCTCAGCCTGGAGAAGAGTTCAGCTCCATGGAGCTGCTACACCTGCTACCTCTGTACTTGACTTAAGAAGTCTACTGTGTGGGCGAAACTTCTCAACAATTAAGATACACAAGTGTTACACATGTGTCTTAATCTTCAACTAGTAGGTATTTTATACCATTTTTGACAATGTCTTAACCTACCACCACCACCAAACACAGCAACCAACTACCACAATCACCCACCACCACCAAACACAGCAACCAACTACCACAATCACCCACCACCACCAAACACAGCAACCAACTACCACAATCACCCACCACCACCAAACACAGCAACCAACTACCACAATCACCAACCACCACCAAACACAGAAACCAACTACCACAATCACCCACCACCACCAAACACAGAAACCAACTACCACAATAACCCACCACCATCACAATCACTCACCACCACCACAATCACCCACCACCACCAAACACAGCAACCAACTACCACAATAACCCACCACCATCACAATCGCCCCACCACCACAATCACCCACCACCATCACAACCACCACCACCACCACAATCACCCACCACCACCACAATCACCCACCACCATCACAATCACCCACCCACCACAATCACCCACCACCACCACAATCACCCACCACCACACAATCACCCACCACCACCACAATCACCCACCACCACAATCACCCACACCACACACACACCACCACCACACAATCACCCACCACCACAACAATTACCCACCCACCACAATCACCCACCACCACCACAATCACCCACAACCATCACAATCACCCACCGCCATCACAATCACCCACCACCACCACAATCACACCACCACCATAATCACCACCACCAATCACCCACCACCACCAACACAGCAACCAACTACCACAATCACCCACCACCACCACAATCACCCATCACCACAACAATCACCCATAACAATCACAATCACCCACCACCATCACAAACCACACAATCACCCACCAACATCACACCACACAATCACCCACCACCACCAAACACAGCAACCAACTACCACAATCACCCACCACCACCAAACACAGCATCCAGCTACCACAATCACCCAACCTCCATCACAATCACCCACCACCACCACAATCACCCACCATCACAATCATCCACCACCACAATCACCCATCTCAACGTCACCCACCACCACAATCACCCACTACCACTACAATCACCCACCACCACCACAATCACCCACAACCATCACAATCACCCACCACCACCACAATCACCCACCACCACAATCACCCACCACCACTATCACTCACCACCACAACAATCACCATCAACCATCACAATCACCCACCACCATCACAATCACCCACCACCACCACAATCACCCACCACCACCACAATCACCCACCACCACCACAATCACCCACCACCACCAAACACAGCAACCAACTACCACAATCACCCACCCCCATCACAATCATCCACCATCATCACAATCACACAATCACCCACCACCACCACAATCACCCACCACCACCAAACACAGCAACCAACTACCACAATCACCCACCACCACCAAACACAGCATCCAACTACCACAATCTCCCACCACCATCACAATCACCCAATACCACCACAATCACCCAGCACCACCACCACAATCACCCACCATCACAATCACCCACAACCACCACAATCACCCACCACCACCACCACAATCACCCACCACCACAATCACCCACAACCACCACAATCACCAAACACCATCACAATCACCCACCACCATCACGATCACCCACCACCACTACAATCACCCACCACCACCACAGTCACCCACAACCACCACAATAACCCACCACCACCACAATCACCAACCACCACCACAATCACCCATCACCACCAAACACAGCAACCAACTACCACAATCACCCACCACCACCACAATCACCCATTACCACTGCAATCACACACCACCACCACAATCACCCATCTCCGCAATAACGCACCACCACAATCACCCATCTCCACAATCATCCACCACCACAATCACCCACCACCATCACATTCACTGACCACCACCACAATCATCCACAACCACCACCACAGTCGCTCACCATCACCACAACATTCACCCACCACCACCACAATCACTCACCACCACCACAATCACCCACCACCACCACAATCACCCGCCAACCACCACAATCACCCACCCCCACCACAATCACCCACCATCACCACAATCACCCACCACAACCACTATCACCCACCACCACCACAATCACCCACCACCGCCACAATCACCCACCACCACCACAATCACCGGCCACCACTACAATCACCCAGACCACCACAATCACCCACTACCACCACAATCACCCACCACCACCATAACCACCCACTACCACCACAATCACCTACTACCACCACAATCACCCACCACCACCACAATCACCCACCACCACCACAATCATCCACCACCACCACAATCACCTACACCATCACAATCACCCACACCACCACAATCACCAACCACCACCACAATCACCAACCACTACCACAATCACCCACCACCACCACAATCACCCATAACCACCACAATCACCCACCACCTCCACAATCACCCACCACCACCACAATCACCCACCACCACAACAATCACCCACTACCACCACAATCACCCACCACCACCACAATCACCCACTACCACCACAATCACCCACCACCACCATAATCACCCACTACCACCACAATCTCTTACTACCACCACAATCACCCCACCACCACCACAATCACCCACCACCACCACAATCATCCACCACCACCACAATCACCCACCACTTCCACAATCACCCACCACCACCACAATCACCCATATCCACCATAATCACCCACCACCTCCACAATCACCCACCACCACTACAATCACCCACCACCACCACAATCACCCATTACCCCACAATCACCCACCACCGCCACAATCACCCACTACCACCACAACACCCACCACCACCATAATCACCCACTACCACCACAATCACCTACTACCACCACAATCACATACCACTACCACAATCACCCACCACCACCACAATCATCCACCACCACCACAATCACCCACCACAACCACTATCACCCACCACCACCACAATCACCCACCAACACAATCACCCACCACCACCACAATCACCCACCACCACCACAATCACCCACCACCACCACAATCATCCACCACCACCACAATCACCCACCACCACCACAATCATCCACCACAACCACTATCCACCACCACCACCACAATCACCCACCACCACCACAATCACCCACCACCACCACAATCACTCACCACCACCACAATCACCCACCACCACCACAATCACCCACCACCATCACAATCACCCACCACAACCACAATCACCACCACAACCACTATCACCCACCACAACCACTATCACCCACCACCACCTACAATCACCCACCACAACCACTATCACCCACCACCACCACAATCACCCACCACCTACAATCACCCACCAATAACCACAATCACCCACCACCACCACAATCACCCACCATCACCACAATCACCCACCACAACCACTGTCAACCCCACCACCACAATCACCCACCACCACCACAATCACCCATTACCCCCACAATCACCCACCACAACCACAATCACCCACCACAACCACTATCTCCCACCACCACCACAATCACCCACCACAACCACTATCACGCACCACCACCACAATCACCCACCACCACCACAATCACCCTCCACCACCACAATCACCCACCACAACCCACTATCACCCACCACCACCACAATCACTCACCACCACCACAATCACCCACCACCACCAACAATCACCCGCCACCACCACAATCACCCACCCCCACCACAATCACCCACCATCACCACAATCACCCACCACAACCACTATCACCCACCACCACCACAATCACCCACCACAACCACTATCACGCACCACCACCACAATCACCCACCACCACCATAATCACCCTCCACCACCACAATCACCCACCACAACCACTATCACCCACCACTACAATCACCCACCACAACTACTATCACCCACCACCACCACAATCACCCACCACCACAATCACCCACCAATAACCACAATCACCCACCACCACCACAATCACCCACCACCACCACAATCACTCACCACCACCACAATCACCCACAACCACCACCACAATCACTCGCTACCACAACAACAATCACCCACCACCACCACCACAAACTCACCTTTTTGGTAAAATCCTCAATGCTCTTCTGAAACATGCTCTGCTGAACTGAGAAGTGATCCTGAAGGTTCTTTATACTCTCTGTGGTGTCTGTGAGGATCTTCTGGGTCTCCTGTAAGCTCTTTTCCACCTCCTCGCCGATGTGCGAAACAGCGGCGCGACATTTCTTCAGCTCGTCCTCAGCATCTTCAACTAGTGGGTCGTCAGAGTCTGCTGTCTTAGTGCCATTGGCACTTATTTCGTACTTCACCTGTAACAACACTCACTGATTACACGAGGTACACACCAGAGTACATGTGAAGAACAGCTAGCAGGTACATACACGAGAGTACATGTGAAGGACAGCTAGCAGGTACATACACGAGAGTACATGTGAAGGACAGCTAGCAGGTACATACACGAGAGTACATGTGAAGGACAGCTAGCAGGTACATACACGAGAGTTCATGTGAAGGACAGCTAGCACGTACATACACGAGAGTACATGTGAAGGACAGCTAGCAGGTACATACACGAGAGTACATGTGAAGGACAGCTAGCAGGTACATACACGAGAGTACATGTGAAGGACAGCTAGCAGTACATACACGAGAGTACATGTGAAGACAGCTAGCAGGTACATACACGAGAGTACATGTGAAGGACAGCTAGCAGGTACATACACGAGAGTACATGTGAAGGACAGCTAGCAGGTACATACACGAGAGTACATGTGAAGGACAGCTAGCAGGTACATACACGAGAGTACATGTGAAGGACAGCTAGCAGGTGTTCCATAGTTGGGTTGGTAGCGCACTCATCTCACACACTGAGGTCCGTGGTTCGATCCTCAGTACGGGTGGAAACATTAGGACATATTTCCTTAAGATACCTGCTGTCACTGTTCACCTAGTGAGCAAGTAGGTACCTGGGTGTTAGTCGACAAAACTGACCTAATTTGCCCCAAATGCTCTGCATAATAAGCGGCTTTCTATATAATGTCAGGGATGTCATGCAGAACGTCAGTAATGTCAGCACGCTTGACTCTCCTTGTCAGTAATGTCAGCACGCTTGACTCTCATTGTCAGTAATGTCAGCACGCTTGACTCTCCTTGTCAGTAATGTCAGCACGCTTGACTGTCCTTGACAGTAATGTCAGCACGCTTGACTCTCCTTGTCAGTAATGTCAGCACGCTTGACTCTCATTGTCAGTAATGTCAGCACGCTTGACTCTCCTTGTCAGTAATGTCAGCACGCTTGCCTGTCCTTGTCAGTAATGTCAGCACGCTTGACTCTCCTTGTCAGTAATGTCAGCACGCTTGACTCTCCTTGTCAGTAATGTCAACACGCTTGACTCCTTGTCAGTAATGTCAGCACGCTTGACTCTCCTTGTCAGTAATGTCAGCACGCTTGACTCTCCTTGTCAGTAATGTCAACACGCTTGACTCCTTGTCAGTAATGTCAGCACGCTTGACTCTCCTTGTCAGTAATGTCAGCACGCTTGACTCTCCTTGTCAGTAATGTCAGCACGCTTGACTCTCCTTGTCAGTAATGTCAGCACGCTTGACTCTCCTTGCAGTAATGTCAGCACGCTTGACTCTCCTTGACAGTAATGTCAGCAGGCTTGACTCTCCTTGTCAGTAAGCTGTCCAGAGTTAGTTTTCAGAGGACCTAACTTTTTTCTAACTTTTGTTCTATATACCTGAAAAAACTTACTTGTTAGTTTTCTAAGCATTCTCCACTTTAATTTCTTAATCCCGTTTATCTTATCTTATCAGTCTTTCAATGTCCCTGTTAATATACAGTGATCCACGAGTTGATCTTCAACTCTCTTGATACACCCGAATATTTCTTTCTTCACCCCTAAAAGATATTTGAGCGTTTATTCTGTTAGTGGGTTGGATTTGTGAAGGACCTGCTAGTATGGGTCAACAGGCCTATTGCAGTGGGTCCTCCCTTGTTATGTCCGGTTGTTCTGTTTGACTTTATATCTCTGTACGGAATAATGTTCTTTGGGCAGCGCAAGAAATGTTCGCGAGTGTGCACTCATGTTATTGATCAGTAGGGGTTTACACATGGATACAACGACCACCTTCATGGTGTTGACACAATCCCCACTAAGTGATTTCACCTGGATAAAAACGACCATCCTCGTGAGTGTAGACACATTCACCTCTGGTGACACCTTTCAGCATCAGTGATCTTGGACTCAGCAGCGCCCATAGCTATCTCGTTCCCAATACTGAGGAAGGAACTCTGAGCGAAGCTGCCCCACAACTGTACTCGTTTTTGCAACCACCACCACCACAACCACCAACCTTGAGTACACTTGTAATATCACCACCCATCTTTTCATATCACAAAAAGATATCCTTGTCACAATATATATATTTATATATATATATATATATAATATATATATATATATATATATATATATATATATATATTATATATATATATATATATATATATATATAAAATAATATATATATATAGGTAGTAGGTTGGTAGACAGAAAACCATCCAGGGAGGGTACTACCGTCCTGTGGTAGTAGTTGGTAGACAGCAACCACCCAGGGAGGTACGACCGTCCTGGGGTAGTAGGTGGTAGACAGCAACCACCCAGGAGGTACTACCGTCCTGTGATAGTAGGGTTTGGGAGACAGCAACCCCCCAGGGAGGTACACCGTCCTGCCAAGTGAGTGTAAACGAAAGTCTGTAATTGTTTTTACATGATGGGAGGAAATTTCTGGTTTTTCTTTTTTTGTTTCATAAATACGCAATATTTCAGGTACGTCTTGCTACTTCTACTTACGCTTTGGTCACATACACATACATGTACACGTTTATTTATACACACTCATCTGAGTTTTCTTTGATTTTATCTTAATAGTTTTTTGGTCTTATTACTTTTCCTTTTTATCCATGGGAAGTGGAATAAGAATCTTTCCTCCGAATCCATGCGTGTTGTAAAAGTCAACTAAAAAGCCGGGAACAATGGGCTAGTAACCCTTTTCCCGTAATAATTACTAAAAAGAATAAGAAGAAGAAAATTGTCAAAGTGGGAGTCTGAATGTGCGTGGATGTTGTGCGAATGATAAGAAAGAGATGATTGTGGATGTTATGAATGAGAAGAAGCTGGATATCCTGGCTTTAAGTGAAACAAAGCTGAAGGGGGTGGGAGAGTTTCAATGGAGAGAAATAAATGGGATTAGGTCAGGGGTTTCAAAGAGAGTTAGAGCTAAAGAAGGAGTAGCAATAATGTTGAAGGATAAGCTATGGCAGGAAAAGAGGGACTATAAATGCATTAAATCAAGGATTATGTGGAGTAAAATAAAGACTGGATGTGAAAAGTGGGTTATAGTAAGCGTATATGCACCTGGAGAAGAGAGAAGTGTAGAGGAGAGAGAGAGATTTTGGGAAATATTGAGTGAATGCTTGGGGAGTTTTGAATCAAATGTGAGAGTAATGGTGGTTGGGGATTTCAATGCTAAAGTGGGCAAAAATGTTATGGAGGGAGTAGTAGGTAAATTTGGGGTGTCAGGGTAAATGTAAACGAGGAGCCTTTAATTGAGCTATGTGTAGAAAGAGATTTGGTAATAAGTAATACATATTTTATGAAAAAGAGGATAAATAAATATACAAGGTATGATGTAGCACGTAATGAAAGTAGTTTGTTAGATTATGTATTGGTGGATAAAAGGTTGATGGGTAGGCTTCAGGATGTACATGTTTATAGAGGGGCAACTGATATATCGGATCATTATTTAGTTATAGCTACAGTTAGAGTAAGAGGTAGATGGGAAAAGAAGAAGGTGGCAACAACAAGTAAGAGTGAGGTGAAAGTGTACAAACTAAGGGAGGAGGAAATTCGGGTGAGATATAAGCGACTATTGGCAGAAAAGTGGGCTAGTGCAAAGATGAGTAGTGGGGGGTTGAAGAGGGTTGGAATAGTTTTAAAAATGCAGTATTAGAATGTGGGGCAGAAGTTTGTGGTTATAGGAGGGTGGGTGCAGGAGGAAAGAGGAGTGATTGGTGGAGTTATGAAGTAAATGGTGTGATAAAAGAGAAAAAGGTAGCTTATGAGAGGTTTTTACAAAGCAGAAGTGTTATAAAAAGAGCAGAGTATATGGAAAGTAAAAGAAAGGTGAAGAGAGTGGTGAGAGAGTGCAAAAGGAGAGCAGATGATAGAGTGGGAGAGGCACTGTCACGAAATTTTATTGAAAATAAGAAAAAAATTTGGCGTTAAACAAGTTAAGAAAGCCTAGGGAACAAATGGATTTGTCAGTTAAAAACAGAGTAGGGGAGTTAGTAGATGGGGAGAGGGAGGTATTAGGTAGATGGCGAGAATATTTTGAGGAACTTTTAAATGTTGAGGAAGAAAGGGAGGGGTAATTTCATGCACTGGCCAGGGAGGTATACCATCTTTTAGGAGTGAAGAAGAACAGGATGTGAGTGTGGGGGAGGTACGTGAGGCATTACGTAGAATGAAAGGGGGTAAAGCAGCTGGAACTGATGGGATCATGACAGAAATGTTAAAAGCAGGGGAGGATATAGTGTTGGAGTGGTTGGTACTTTTGTTTAATAAATGTATGAAAGAGGGGAAGGTACCTAGGGATTGGAGGAGAGCATGTATAGTCCCTTTATATAAAGGGAAAGGGGACAAAAGAGATTGTAAAAATTATAGAGGAATAAGTTTACTGAGTATACAAGGAAAAGTGTACGGTAGGGTTATAATTGAAAGAATTAGAGGTAAGACAGAATGTAGGATTGCGGATGAGCAAGGAGGTTTCAGAGTGGGTAGGGGATGTGTAGATCAAGTGTTTACATTGAAGCATATATGTGAACAGTATTTAGATAAAGGTAGGGAAGTTTTTATTGCATTTATGGATTTAGAAAAGGCATATGATAGAGTGGATAGGGAGCAATGTGGCAGATGTTGCAAGTATATGGAATAGGTGGTAAGTTACTAAATGCTGTAAAGAGATTTTATGAGGATAGTGAGGCTCAGGTTAGGGTGTGTAGAAGAGAGGGAGACTACTTCCCGGTAAAAGTAGGTCTTAGACAGGGATGTGTAATGTCACCATGGTTGTTTAATATATTTATAGATGGGGTTGTAAAAGAAGTAAATGCTAGGGTGTTCGGGAGAGGTGTGGGATTAAATTATGGGGAATCAAATTCAAAATGGGAATTGACACAGTTACTTTTTGCTAATGATACTGTGCTTATGGGAGATTCTAAAGAAAAATTGCAAAGGCTAGTGGATGA